AGCTCTATGATGCCCCCACCTTCAGTGCCCTTTACCTAAGAGCAACGGTCCAGAGTGACCTTCCACCTTTTAATCCCACTGCCCCTGCCAAAGCTGATGCAGATGAAAGCAGCTTCAGTTCCTCAGATGAAGACCTACCAGCAGCAACAGAGGATGCTAATGATGATGATGACTCTTCCTTTTCCAGCTCTGATGAAGATGCCATTTAGCTTTAGTTTCTTTTTCACCACACCCACTTTTCACTTACCTTCTTCCATTTCCCTGTATTTATTATTAACCACCATTTCTATGTAATTATCGCACATTACTACTTTCCTCTTTACTGCTTTACTTTTGTATTACCGTTTTTACTTTGAACAATTTAAGACATATTTATATATTTTGTATTCTGGTTTCATAATTGCTCCCTATACTGAACTTTGTGTATATTTGTCTAGAGAATGCCCTCAACCCTGTCAAGAGAAGCATGAATTTGAGCCCCGAGTTATGAATCTACTTTCTATGAAAGAGGGTGATCTCTTTGCCTCTATTTCATATTTTCTTATTCTAAATTCCTTTCACAGTACTAAATGAAAATACAAAAATAGTTTTCATACTGTTCTCTTTTCATCTAGTCCAGATTTGTAATTCCATAGTTATATTCTTATGATCATTCCCTGTTTTTGAATAATTATCTTTCTTACCATACTGCACATATTTTCTTGTAAGGTGAATTGTACTCACATGTTACTAAGAAATTATCACCTTTTACCATGGTAGAGAATTAAGCCTCAAAATTCTTTTATGTGTGCATTATAACATGTATATTTGCATTCATCTTCTAGAACTTGCCCTGCTTCTTAATTGAATATGTGTTGTGCAATCTTTCATCTAGATGATTGAGGCCATCTTTGCAGACACCCACCCACCCTTCAACACCTTTGCACTTAATTTCCCTTGTTCCACATTCCTTCTTTTGCCATGCTTAGTCTGTAAAAATATTTTCCTTACCTTAAGAGAGGTATTTCTTTTGAGTTGCATCAAGAGTGAATGCAATAAACTAAGTTTGGGGTGCTGATTTTGATTGTAGTTAATTGAGGACAAGCAAGCTCTTAAGTTTGGGGTGATGAGCATTTTACATGTTAATATTACTTGTCAAAAAAATTTGCTTAAATTTGAAGAAGAGAATGATTGCCAAATTCCATGAAATTATAAAAAAAAAATAATGATGAATGATTGAAAAAGAAAGAAAAAAAAAATACAGCAAGAGCCTTGAGTTGAAAAGCATCCCACATAAGGAAAAATAATGAAAAACATGTTGACTTAAGCTGCATCATTTAATGCATTCCACTCCAAGTTGTTGTACTCACTCACTCAAAAGAATTCCCTTCTCTTGAAATACCCACTTGAGCTTTTGCCCCTCTTTAAGTTAGGGTTGTGATGAATCCACATTTTATTGGATTTTTACCTGTCATTTTGATGTTTCTTAATAGAAAAAATAAACTTAGGAAGTGTAAATAACATAAAAACATCATTTTGGTCAAATAACATAGGTTTCTTAATTTTTGGTTAATTTACATAGATATAGTTTGCAATTTTGATCATTTGAATAATTGTGCAGGAATTTCTAGACTTTTTCCATGGATTTTTAGCATTTGAGAAAGTTTGAGATGAAAGTGATCACTTGGGATCCTATAGTGAACACTACAGCAAGCTAGATCCAGAAGGGCAGACCAAAGTGATCACTATGAAACCATAGTAAACACTACAGAGACCTAGTTTGAAGAAGTGTTGCGCGTGTTTACTATGGAACCATAGTAGACACTCTGGGCCGACCAAAGTAATCACTATGATACCAAAGTGAACACTCCAGAGAAGGCCAAAATCACAAGACTTGCGCGTGGCTACTATGGAGCGATAGTAACTACTATGAAGCATTGCGTGTTATCATTATGAAACCATAGTAGTTACTATAGGCGAAAATTTCTGCACTATAAATAGAATTTGAGAAGTTAGGGTACGAATCCTTTTTACACATTTTTAGATTCTTTGCCATTTGAGGGAGCATTTATAGAGCTTAGGACCCTTGGGTGACAGCCAAGGCCAATCTTAGGGTTTGATTTACAATTTCTCTTTATTTTCCTTTAATTCTTGCATTGATGATATTGAATTTCCTTTGTTTTCATCTTGAGTTTGTAAGACATGTTCCAGAGACTCACAAAGTTCATAAGTGTCTAAAATAGTCTGTGTGTGGCTACTCTCTGCTCAAATAGTATCTACGCGTATCCTATCTAGCTAGGAAAGGACTGTGCATGATTACTTTTTCCTCCAAAAGTGAATGTTCCAAAGAATAGACCCTGAATATAGTTTGTGTGTTGTTCCCTTTTGCTCTGAGGGTGACTATTCCAATGACATCCAATCCTTGCAAGTGGTAACCATCCATCCAAAAAGTTATTATGTGCTTCATAGTGATTACTTTATATGCAAAGAGTGTCTACCCCAATAAATTGAATTAAAATTCTGCTCAAGTGGCTAATGCTTTTACTCCCAAAAGTGCTTACTTACAGTTCAAAACTTAGATTATGCAGAATTCTTTAAATAAAACTACAAATTAGCAAATTTAAAAGGGAAAGAAGTGTGAGTTGTCTCTAACAAAGCACTTCTTTAATGTCACTAGCTTGATGCCTGATGTTCCTCACTCTTGAGAAACAAATTTGACACGTGTTATTTCTTTCAATCTCTTATCCATGATAAAGCTTGATCCTCTAGCCATTGCCCTTAAATTCTCTCCCTATTTTCTAATCTTCTAATAAAACAACACCAAAGGGAGATACCTCTTTGATCACAAAAGGACCCGACCATCTTGACTTAAACTTTTCAGGAAATAATTTCAGCCAAGAATTCAATTATAAAACTAATTGTCCTGGCTCAAATTCCCTCTTCAAAATGAAATGATCATGCAAACTCTTGGCTTTTTCTTTGTAGATCTTTGCATTTTTATAAGCAAATTGCCTAAATTCTTCTAGTTCATGAAGCTGTAACACTCTTTTTTCTCTAGCACTTGATGTAACGCCTGACCTTTTTGTAATATTGATTGTTATTATTATATATAAATGGATGTTAGAGTGTGCACTTAATTATGTGATGATGATGTCGATGTATATGAATGCATATGAATGAGTATAATTGTATTTGTATATGATTAGGCTGAAAAACAGGTTGAGGGTGTAATACTGGGGCATTCTCACTGTAGCGAGAGAGCCCTAGGAGAAAGGCATAAAACGGTTGCCTTCTCGCTGCAGCGAGAGGTCCCTCATTGTAGCGACAAAGTGACAATTTGGGGTGCATTTCTGGGCAAAGTCTTGCTGTAGCGAGATTCTGCAGAAACCAGACTGCATTTCCCTCTGATATTTTCGCTGTAGCGACAGGAGGCATTGCTGCAGCGAGAGGTGCCTCGCGGTTGTAGCGAGAGTGTCGCGACCAGAAGAGGATTTAAAGGGGTTAGGGTTTGGGGAAGTTTCATTTCTCACTTTTCCTTCAAGATTTCTTCAATTCTCTCACTTCCAAACCCTATTCCACCGATTAAATTGCCTCCAAAGTCGTTCGGGAGCTAAATTAAAGGTTGGATTAGTGTTGGGAACGCTTGGAGGTGAGTTTCATGGTTAGGGTTTATGATTTCTCACCCTTACTCACTGTTTTCTCGGTTCTCCTTGGGTTCTCATAGGGTTCTTCCATGTATTTAGGTCAAAGTCCATGTGGGAGAGTACCTACCTTGTTGATTTGGTGTGTGGGCCTTTATTTGAGGTAAGGGAGGAACTCTAATTGTGTTTAATTTACTGTTTATTTCGTTAAATGTTGCAATGTGGCTACGATAGAGAGTAGGAAATTATTGTGTGTTTGGAGTGGAATGTAAATTGATTGTGGGGTTGACATACCCTTGATTGAGAATGTGTGTAAGCATGTTAAGAATTGATGATTGAATAATGTAAATGGTTGGAAATGGATATAGATGGCATGTTAATATATTGTGTGGTGGAATAATGGCATATGTGCTGAGTGTGGTGAATGAATGTGGGCAAAGTAAGTCGTGTATGATATGCTATGGATGGTTCAGCGATCCACTGGGGGTGTGGACGATAGGGATGGTAGAGATACCTTGGGGAAGAGAGAGTGGTGGTGACACCAACAGTGAGCGTGGGTGCACCACAGGCCACACACTCTCCTCCTGACTAGACCCCTGACCAACACCTTTGCTAAGTGACCCGTGACTGCCCATGCGGTATCTGTGAAGTGGGGATAACCAGCGACCATTCATGGTGTGAAACTGTGATCACAGTGCCACAGTGAGCGTGGCTAGATGCGATCAGCGCACGTGTGTGAAATGTTGGTGCAGTGAGTGCACCGGTTGTGTTTTAAATTGAAATAGATAATGAATAATGATTATGACTGAGATTAAGATGCTTGTCTGGTGGATGCATGATTTAAAATATGTTAGTAAATGTGTAGTATTTGAGATGAGTCTCTATGTTTATGTGTGTTGGATAGTGTAGAGTACTCACCCTTCCATTTATTTTTCAAGTGACGAAGACGATCAGCACCGGACTCAGTGAAGGAAGGATGAACAGCTATAGGACTTAGATTGTATTTTGAAAATATAATGTAACTGAATTAGTCCTATAGTAGTCTTTGATATAAATTTGTAATCCTTTATTGTTTTAAACTATTTTATGAACCTCTGTGATGGGATCTTTTATTTAAATCAAAATTTTATTACTCCCATTTTGCAAAATTATTACTTGGAAATTAATTTAAGGTGTTATAATTTTGGTATCAGAGCAGTTCATCCAAACCAGACTGAGGTAACAGGCTGAAACGTCCAAGCTGAGGGTTGATTTGTTTTGCTTACCTGAATTATAAATGTTGTCATTTACTTGATGGTTTGAATTGTGGTTTGCTGAATTTTTATAGCTTAGAGTAAACATGGTTGGTAGAGGTAGAGAGCTAGAGATAGCAATGACCTCATGGAGGGCATGGCTCAAATTGTGGAGACCTTGGTGCATAACCAAGGCGGAGAGCCGGCCGAATACCGAGGGTTGTCTGCCTTCACTAGGCACCATCCTCCAAAGTTTGAGGGAGGATTCAACCCTGAGGGAGGCCAGAAGTGGTTGGCGGATGTAGAGAAAGTCTTCAATACGATGGGGTGCCATGAGGAACACAAGGTGAACTACGGCATCTGCCTGCTGTGTGGGGAAGCGAAAGACTGGTGGAGGTTTGCCGGTCAAACATTGCCACAAGAGGGTGGCTACGTTCAATGGGAGACCTTTAAGGTGATCTTCCCAGGGAACTACTTTCCTCGGGATCTAAGGAAGCAGAAGGCCAGTGAATTCCTTAAGCTAAAGCAAGAAAGCATGATAGTGGGGGAATATGTAGCAGAGTTTCAAGAGCTGATGGAGTACTGACCTCACTACCAATATGGGGATGGTGAGGACGACTTGTGTGCTCAGTTTGAGCACGGGCTGAGGCTAGACATCTGAGCTGCAGTCAGTGTGTTCCAGCTGAAAGACTTGCCCACTATGGTGAGCAAAAGTAGAATCTTTGAAGCAGCTTGAGGGGTAAGACAGTGGATACTAGGGGAGTCGGTCCAGTGAGGCAAGATAGAAGACCGCCTAGATTCTCCAAAGGGCCATATTATGGCTCGAATAATTCACAATCTAAAGGGAGTTTGTCTTAAGAGAAGTGATGAATCCACTTTTTATTATATTTTTACTTGCCTTTTTGGTACTCCTTGATAGAAAAAATGGACTTAGATAGTGTAAATAATACAGAAATCACTTTTTGAATAAATATCATAGGTTTATTAATTTTTGGTTAATTTGCATTTAATTACATAGATATAGATTGCAATTTTAATTATCTTGATAATTTTGCAGAGTCCCCAAGCTAATTTTGAGAAATCTTGGCCCTTGGATGAAAGTCAACCCCAAAGTAGCCACTTTCAAGAGCAAAAGTAGCAACTACAGCAAGTCTAGGCATTAAAGGGTCCAAAGTAGCTACTTTCACCCTTCATAGTAGCAACTCCAGAAAGCTCCAGGGACGCCATTTGGAAAGCAAGATGCGCGTGGACACTATTGCCTTTTATAGTGGCTACGCGCGTCCAAAGTAGCCACTTTCAACCTTCATAGTAGCAACTCCAGAAAGCTCCAGGAACGCCACTTGAGAAGAAATTTGCGCGTGGACACTATTGTCTTTCATAGTGGCTACGCGCATCCAAAGTAGCTACTTTCAGCATGAAAAGTGGCAACTCCAGAGAACTTGCAAACCAACGTATATGCGCGTGGACACTCTCAAGAGCCAAAGTGGACACTTTCAAAGGTAAAAGTGGGCACTTTGCTGACATGTCCTCCACTATAAATAGATTTTAGGAATTAGGGTACGGGAGCTTGAATTTTTATTTTTCTTTCATTCCCTTTGCGAAATTAGGACATTTTTCTTTCCAGAGCTTTAGAGCCTTGGGTGACAGCCAGGGATCCATTATAGGTTTTAATTTCCAATTTCCCTTTGATTCTCATTGATTTTACATTAATGTTGCTTACGTTTCTGCATTCCCTTCTTTCATTTGTGAAGCCCATCCATATAGAGGGTTAAATTTTCTTGTAATTCCTAGTCAACTCACATGGTTTTTGAATTCTTGGGTTTAATGCCAATATTACTCTTTCTTTCCTTGGATTTATTAACCCCAATCTGTGAATGAAATGAAATTTACATGAGGGGAACATTGCTTAATGAACCCTAAATTACCCAAACGAAATTCTAATCCAAAATTGCTTAATTTTGATTAATCTTTGAGATTGCTTAATCTTAGGGATAGAGATTGGAGCCCATTAAGATGCTTAATTTTAATTAGGATGCTAAAGTTAATTTTCGCTTGTTAGATTAACTTAATTCAAGGGAAGAAAAGGGGATTATTGAATCATTTGAAAGAATAGGGATAGAACTCATTGATTGACTAGGGATTACTCTTCTTAATTGATTGAATTTCACTAGTTTACATTTTGCTCTTGATTAAAATCTGGAAATTGACAAACCTCCCCCCAATTTACTTGCTTTAAAATCTATATTTACACTTATTCGATGTATGTTCCCAACCAAAAATTCCTTGGAGACGACTTAGGACAACACCCTAGTATTGCATTCATTTCTTAGCATATTTGATGAGGATTAACGACAGTCTTTGTGCATAATGAGTAGCAAAACATCGTTTCATCAAGAAGAGTAGTAGGAATGGCTCAAGATTAGGCTTTTTCAGAGGACCGATCAAGTGCTTTAGGTGTGGAGGGCCACACATTGTGAGAGACTGCCCATAGCCAAAGATAAGTTGCCGTAACTGTGGAAAACTAGGGCACACTGCTAATGTGTGCTGGGCTACCATGCAGAGGGCGTTAAGCACTAAGTTAAAGCTTAGTTTGGCGTATCATCGACAAACTGATGGCCAGACAGAGAGAACCATCCCGTTACTGAAGGACCTGTTGAGAGCTTGTGTACTCAAACAGTAAGGGACTTGGGAAGAGTGCTTACCGCTGGTGGAGTTCACGTACAATAACAGTTATCATGCCAGCATCGAGATGGCGCCATGTGAGGCTTTGCTGCGTATCGGATAGCGTTGCCTCTGAATCTCTCGAATCTACATCCAGTGTTCCATGTGTCATAACTCAGGCAGTATGTGCCAGATCCTTCTCATGTAATCGATCTTGACCCATTTCAAGTGAGAGAAGACTTGTCTTATGACGTGTATCTAGTGAGGATAGCGGAACACCGTGTTAAGCAGCTGAGGGGCAAGGAAATCTCATTGGTGAAAGTGATATGGAACTCAAGTGATGAGGGTGATGCCACATGGGAAACGGAGAGTAGAATGAGAGAGTTATATCTGAGATTATTTATATAACTTGTGTGTATTTGGTTGAATTTCGGGAACGAAATTCCTTAAAGGAGGGGAGAATTGTAACGCCTGACCTTTTTGTAATATTGTTTGTTATTATTATTATTATTATTATTATTAAATGGATGTTAGAGTCTGCACTTGATTGCGTGATGATGATGTTGATGTATATGAATGCATATGAATGAGTATAATTGTATTTGTATATGATTGGGCTGAAAAACAGGTTTATGGTGTAATACTGGGGCATTCTCGCTGTAGCGAGAGGATTCTCGCTGTAGTGAGAGGGCCTTAGGAGAAAGGCGTGAAACTATCGCCTTCTCGCTGCAGCGAGAGGTCCCTCGCATAGCAACAAAGGGACAGTTTGGGGTGCATTTCTGGGCGTAGTCTCACTGTAGCAAGAAGGTTTCACTGTAGCAAGATTCTGCAGAAACCATACTGCAATTCCCTCTGATATTTTTGCCGTAGCGACAGGGGGTGTCGTTGTAGCGAGGCACCTCTAACATATGTGCTGAGTGTAAATGGTTGGAAATGGATATGGATGGCATGTTAATATGTTGTGTGATGGAATAATGGCATATGTGCTGAGTGTGGTCAATGAATGTGGGCCTCTGTATCGTGTAATGTGAATAAATATGGGCAAAGTATGTCGTGTATGATATGCTATGGATGGTGATGAATCCATATTTTATTGGATTCTTACTTGTCTTTTTAGTGTCCCTTGATAGAAAAAGTAGACTTAGGAAGTGTAAATAACATAAAAACATCATTTTGGTCAAATATCATAGGTTTCTTAATTTTTGGTTAATTTATATTGATTTACATAGATATAATTTGTAATTTTGATAATTTGAATAATTGTGCAAGAATTTCTAGGCTTAATCCATGGATTTCTAGCCTTTGAGAAAATTTGAGTTGAAAGTGACCACTTTGGATTCCATAGTGGACACTACAGCAAGCTAGAACCAGAGGGTAGACCAAAGTGATCACTTTCAAAGCTATAGTGGACACTATAGAGACCCTAGTTTTAAGAGGCATTGCGCGTAGCCACTTTGGTTTCATAGTAGACACTCCAAAGAAGGCCAAAATTAACCCAAACTTGTGCGTAGCTACTCCCATTTCATAGTAGCTACGCGCAGTGCGCGTAGCCACTTTGGTTTCATAGTGGACACTCCAGAGAAGGCTGACAAGGTGGGATGCTATGCGTAACTACTATAGGCAACGACCACTGCACTATAAATAGAATTTTAGAAATTAGGTTAAGAGCTTTTTACACTTTTAGATTTTTTCTGTTTTAGGAACTTTTGCAAAGCCTAGGTGGCCTTTGTGACAGCCAAAGGTCCAACCTAGGGTTTGATTTCCATTTTCTTCTTACTTTTCTTCGATTTTTCATCTTAATGTTATTGATTTCTCTTTAATTTTACTTTGTAGTAGTGAGACCCATCCTCATGGAGGGCTATACCTTTTGTATTCCTTAGTGAGTTTACTTAGATTCTTGAATTCCTGGGTTTTGAATGTTAATATAATTCCTTTTCTTTCATGAATTTCTTCTTCCTAATCTCTTGAATTGAATTAATGGTTGAATAAGGGGAATATTGCCTAATAAACCCTAATTCATTTTAATGAGATTCTAAACTTGAATTGCATAATTATGAGTTTATTTCTAAGGTTGTGTAATCTTTCGATGAGAAATTGGAATCCGTTGAATTGCTTAATTCATATGGAAACATAAGGTTGATTTTCGGCTGTTAAATTAACCTAATTCTGGGAGGAGAAGAAGAGTATTAAATCTTGAGAGGAATAGGATAGAATCTACATGAATGAAATAGGGGTTACTATATTCCATTAATTGAACTTTGCAATTTAATTTTCTGCTTAATTGCTAAATAGGGGTTACTATGAAATAGGGGTTACTATATTCCATTAATTGCTAAATTATTACTTGGAAATTAATTTAAGGTGTTACACTTGACAAATCAAAATTTAGGCATTTTGTAGCCCAATATACTGTATGCTCTAATTCCATAGGCAAGTGACATGCGTTACCAAACACAAGTTGATATGGAGACATCCTAATAGGTATTTTGTAAGCACTCCTATATGCGCATAGAGTGTCATCAACCTTCTTTGACCAATCTTTTCTTGCATTATTCACCACTTTTCCCATAATCTTCTTGATTTCTCTGTTAGAAATCTCTACCTGTCCACTAATTTGAGGATGATAGCGAGTAGCAACCCTATGTTTCACTCCATATTTTCCAAACTAGCATCTAGGACAGAAGTGTGCACCTCCATTGCAGATTAAGACTCTAGGAACACCAAATCATGCAATAATTTTTTTCTTGATGAATGAGATAATCACCTTTGCATCATTGGTTCTTGTTAGCATAACTTCCACCCAGTTTGTCAGGCCTATGCATTTATATATGTATATTATATAATATTCTTTTTAAGTTGTGTTGTAATTGCTTCAACTATATGAATTTTCATATGTGGAATATAAATGTGTAAGTTGTGTAATTG